ACATCACTGATCAGTTAATTTTGGCAATGCCAAAAATTTTTTTTCATCATAATGGATATTGCTGTATATTATACTTGTAGACTTCTAGTAGCAGGGTGTTGTCAAGTGGTTTCCAATTTTGTTAAAATATTATTCAATTCTTCATTTCTGTATAGGTATGTTCATTAAAGGATCCTTTTATTATTGTAGTTCCAGTTTGTTAAGTTGAGTACGAATTCATTTTACTCCTAAATATTAATTTCGTATCATGCATTTAACAGTTCTGTGTTGAACAGGGAATATGTCTATACGTTTTAGTATATTTTTATTTTCGTTGTGTTACTTCTTTTATATTATTTAATATATGCTAGAAACATGCTGCAGATATATTGTGATTATAACACGAATAGGTTAGCTCAACCGGGACAGGACCACGCTCTCGCAGAAAATCAGCTTAAACTAGCAGCTTAATGCTGCTGTGTTTCGTATGGTGAGTTTTAAAAACCGAATGCTAATTTAGTAAAATTAGCATTCGGTTTTTTTCAGTAGAAAACGAGACTACATTTTGATTCTGAATCGAGGACAGAGGTCTCCGAATCTAAGTTTTCACTCTTATTCTATTTTGAAAAAGTAATGTAATACAGTTTTCTGTTTACTTCATGCTTTTGTGGCCGTCCTTTTATTAATTAACTTGTTTTGACGGTGTTAAATAAAGATTCCAAACAGTTCTCTATATCCTATAGGTTCATTCCAGTTGTAGCGTTAGAACAAGTACCTTACGGTATTTTTGTAAACTTTTTAAATCCAATAAATTATTTCTTTGACTTCATCTCACAGCTTGAAATGAATTTTAAATTACAATAATGTGTTTTACGGCGATCGATTATGACCTGGACCTGGACCTGGGCTTCCATGGATCGGCTGGAATTATTGCGGGCTATCAAATTTTGGGACAAAGTGTTTAAATCGTTGTATTCTTTCAGTTAAAACTATGATAAATCTTCGTAATGTACAATTCACGTTTTGCTTACCTTCATTGTGTAATGTTTTTATAAGGAACTTAAAATTCTAGCTATGGTGGTGCTTACATTACTGTATGGATCATAATGAAATGTAATATCAAAGTGCTTTACAAAAAAAAAAAAAGAAAGCGTTTTTAAATGTTTTAAAACCGAACACCCCACACGGCTTTGAAATTTCAGCGTGGCATTGACCTAAATGACTAGGCCTAAAAAATTTGCTTTCTGAGCTACCCAGTGGAATGTCTACCTTTATAATAAATTCATGAAAACTTGCGTGGAATGTTCATAACAAAGGAAAGTGACTTATTTAATTGAGCACCAAAATTGTTAAATGAAAAACGACACAGTATCCATTCTGAAAATCCATGGCTACAAAAATAATTTACATATTGTTTGTTTCGTATGTGTACATTTTTTAATGAATATTAATATCTTTTAGATTCAGATTTTTCATCATATAATGGATATTAAGTGACATAACACTATGTATATTGATAATTCGTTGTATTTGTTTTTTAAATTAAAATAAATAAAATATATAACAAAAAGGTGTCGAAATAAAATAATATGTTTTTGGAAAATCTTCCCTGAAAATTGTTAAGAATAAATTATATTCGAAATTAAGGTGAGGCTGGGGTGGCCGATGGGCCACCCTAAAGCCGCGTTCATTATCATGATATAATCGTTAACCATAAATAAATTAGAATATAATATTGAAATAATTGAACTTTTTAATTTATTCGGACTTATAAGCATTTTTTATTTATAAGATTATTGTTAGAATAATTATTTATTCTAATCGTACGACTGTCTTATGCGGAAACAGTGTAATAAGATAGGTTAGTTATTTTTTGATATCACATATATAGATGATACATAAACACTTAAACTCAATGGGAATAAAGTTTTTCATTAAAGGTATTTTTTATTTGTAACGCAAATGAAAGAATACCCATTGATGCTATTCAATACTGCAAAGTGGTTTTTTCCCTTCCTTCACTTTCATTTTTACACTTGCTAATCTCAGATTTAATACATTATTAAGTTAATCAATAGAATCAGGCGTTACTTTGTGCATACCCATTATATTAAGTTCAAATCAAATCTTAGCATATTAATTTTTAACAACTTCAACATTAGGTACTAATTTATTGTCTTAAAAATGAATAACTTGGTTCGGTTTGTTTAGTTTCAATTATATCAAATTTCCAGTTCCAAAAGTTACGTAGCAATATTCATAGTGACCAGACAATATGAAAAATAATGAAGTTTAAATGAGTATACATTACATAGCTCGATTTGACCAGTCACTATCCATATTGCCCGGACATTATAAATAATGCCTTAATTAATCATTTGGTCCATAAAACACACACACACACACACACACACACACACCCCACACACACACACATACATATATATATATATATATATATTATTAAAAGTGTATGTAAGTAATGTGGGAGATAGGAGCTCAAACTAGGTTACCCTGTGCTAGAGGTCTCCTGGCTCTCCCTCTTGGTTTTATATGGCTTAATATATACATACTTTTTTAGTGTATGATGAAGTGAGCGTTGCATGTGGAGATCGAATATGAGATTTCCAAAGTGTAATTTACAATAAAAGTCGCGTAGAATAAATATAACATGCACTATGTTTTAAATAATAATAATAAAAGTATATAATCAAAATATATATGTATATATACATACATAAATATACGCACGTGTGTGTGTGTAGTGTTTGTGTGTATTTGTTTCCTTAAATCCAGTTACTGGCGAAAAATGACGCTCGTACAATAAATTGAATAGTCAGTCATTTGCTTTCCTAGTGTTCGGAAGAAGTAGTAGTTTTTAAGGGTAATTTTAGTACTTTGATTTTAGAGCGTTTATAATGTTTGTAAAAACGATGACGCTGGTAGTGACTTGTTACGAGCTGGGAGATAGAGCACCTAAAGGTTCCAATTGTCATTATAAACCTCTATCGAATCAACTTAATCACAACACGAAATTTCATCAAAATCGGTCCAGACGTTTAGGAGTTCAGTCGCACACATGGACAGAAGAATTATATATATAGAGATATTTTAAAGTCTTATAAAGATCTGTCATTCATACCTTTTCTATTCTACTTTCGTCTTTGAAAAAAGAGAAAGCTTGTCTATAACTGTGTAGAGACGAATTTATGATATCACTTTGCTTTTTCACTGATAGAGTAAACCGATTGCTAACTTGACTGCTAACTGTGATAGCCAATCTCCCTTCCTAGCGTGATGACAACATAAAAGTTCTACTAATGTTCTATTTATCTACTAATAAGAGGAGGATGTTGAGGAGATTCGTGTGTGTTCTAATTACAAAGTTTCAACCTATTAGTATGCTTAGAAAATCTTAGGTTTTTTTAAGAGTTACCCCCTCACTAGGATTTTCTCCTGTATCGCGAATGCAGTTTACAAACATAAATTGCACAAGGACAAATATCCAGGTCTGGAACATTTATTTGTAGGCCATACAAATACTTGTTTCGTGCAGGATTCGAACCTGCAGCCCCCCCCCCCACCGCAACAACTGCGCCACAGTTGCCAAGTTGCTTAGCCACAGCGTTAGGGGGCGTCAAGTGTCAGACAGTTCCTCATTCGACGGAGTGACATCCTGGTTGGAGTTGCAGGAAGACGATTGATGCAGGTGGCTCAAACAGTGATGTCAAGATTATTATGACAAATATATATACATATTATAGAGCCGTGCACTTAGTCAAAGCGAAAAAGAAAGGATTTGGCATTTTGTTATCGTATGGTTTTTCGCATATTAAATGGATATAATTTAAAAAAGTTATTTGATCCGTCTCAAAGATATTTGTAATTTGAGCTTGTGGTGAATAAAAATTCCTTGACGAATTTTATCCGTCTGGCAATGAGTATGTGAAATCTCATTACATAATAAAAATGAAATGTTCAAAATCGGATAGGTTTAAACCTAATTTAAGGTTTCCTTTTTAGGTTTAAACCTATCCGATTAGATTTAACGTTTGGTGGACGTTTAGTAGGCGTGATGGCGTAAATACTAAAGTTTTCGGAGTTTATCGTTATTAAAATTTTGTCGTGACATACTTGGGTTAATATTTCGCGGGTACAAAATTCGAAATCTAGTCTGGATTAACTTTTGTGCTAAAATCCAAATTAATTTTTTACTTTTTTTTATCTACCTCCGATTTGATCGCATAAGTTTTATATACAGCACGCTACTCATGCTTATCCTCCCTCCTGTTTGTATTGTCCTCCAAATCGAATTTCGGTCACGGTGGCCAGTATCAGTGGAAACTAGCCATCTGATCAAGACAGGATTATAGTACACGAATATGTGAATTTTTTATTCTTCCATAGTTCGAAGGGACGGCAAACTATTACGACAGGAGATAGATCAGTCGGGAGACTAACGATTTAACGTGCTTTACGATACATGGAGGTAAAATACCACCATTTATTTTTGGTGCAACCGATGTGGGGTTCAAATTCGGCTTACATGATCAGCAGTAGTGCTCATGACCAATAGACGTTAGTCTAAGTAGGAAAAGCTCAGTAAAAGCAGTAGTAGGTAATATCACAAGTTTTTTTTAATATAGGAAAAGGGTGAAAAGCGAGCACACAGTCCACCCGATCGTAAGTGGTTGCTGTGGCCCATAGACATGTACATCCATCCTCGTTTGCGAATCAAAAGGAAGATGCGTTGTCAGTCTTGAGGACTAAAATAGAATGCCTCTTTTCCAGTAAAAAGGGTCTCCGGTTCTCTACAACCACAATACGAAACACAGCAGCATTAAGCTGCTATTTGACGCTGGTATTCTTTGAGTGTGGTGTCTGACAGTGCAAAGACTTGTGACATTAAAATAACTTTTGCGCATTGACTTTTTCATTTATCAGTACACACTATCCAACTATGTACTATAATTGTAATTTATACGCTAACATTTAAGCAACACCTTATTGATTTGTTGCAGGTTCCAGTAACATCCGTCTGAAAGTCGGTATTTTCATCTTTACACTAATCAAGCTTACTGACTGTGACTTCGTGACAGAAACTCCTAAATACGTCTACCATAGAGACAAGCCTTACGTGAATAATGAAATTCCAGAACCAGAAATATTGCCAGTTCTACATGGAAATGATTCCAGATGTCGGATATCAGAATATCATTGTGCAAATAAAAAATGCATACCTATAAATAGATTTTGCGATAGTACGAACGACTGTGGCGATTCCTCCGATGAACCAAGACATTGCACACGTGAGTAATTTTGTATTTATTTTTTAATTAAATTTATAACCATATGATGGAGATACTAGTTTAGTTTTAAAATAAAGTACTTCTAAACTTTACTCTTAAATTAATTACAGTCGCTTCACTTAGCAGTTTCAATATTTTTTTCATTAAAGTTTAAAAATAATATTAAATTCTATCACATAACCTCAATTACGATAGTGCCAATAAATACCTGCAATATCTTCTGGATTTTAGTTTTAAACAGTGTATTTTAGAAGAAATATATTATTAACACATCTTTTTTTTGGTGTGGTAACACTCTTTTTATTTTTATTAGTAATCATTGATGTTATATGGAGCGTTGAACGAAACGTTGCGAGGAAAAATACATGCCTTGTGAAATAAAAATATATTTCAGGATTTTGTTAAAATATTTCATATGATCAGGATAGTATGCATTATAAACGTTTTATCCTAATATTCGAATCAAATACACATAATGTCTGCGTGTTGTTCCGTCCTCAAAAAAGAACCACGTGGAATCACCTCGGTGGTTAAAGGTTAAAGACGTTTTTCAGAGACTACATGTGGTTGAGCCAAGCTGCAGCTGTATTATGGTTGTAGCACGAATGGGTCGGCTAAATCGGGGTAGGACACAGAATACCAGTGTAAAATAGCAGCTTGATGCTGCTGTTTTCCGTATGATGAGTGTAGAGAACCGGCGATCCTTTGTATCAAAAATGAGGCATTCCATCTTAGTCCTCAGGGGTGACAACGTATTTGCATTTTTTTAATTCTTAATCGAAGAGAAATGTCTTTGTCAGTGTGTCAGTGAAACATCTTTGAGTCATAGCATCCACTAACTATCGGGTGGTCTGTAGGTTCGTTTCTCATCCTTATTATATGTAAGAAAAGTCCGTTTCACAAATAATTTTATTTATTTATTAAATTTATTAAAAATTTAATTTAAATTTGGAATAGTAATAATAGGTAAGCAGTGACCCAAACACAGTCTTGGACTCCAAATTACAATTTTTGATTTAATTGCTTGCACTTGAAATTTAGTAAATTAATGTTAATTTTAATATTTTATAAAATTAAATGTCTTCAAAATAATATTCATATGGATTATGTATATTAGTTAAAATTATCATATAGCCTTATTCCAAATCAAAGCCAAAGATAGTGAATGCGTTATACGCTATATTTTAAGGTTTTATGCGAGAAAAAATAAACCCTCTTGTTATCAACAATGATAGTTAGTCGCAAATAAAAGAAGCCTTTACAAAATTCACTGCACCTGTGACCCGACGGTTTGTCCGCGTCAGTATCAGTCCGACTCTTATAAAGCTACTTTGTGGCACAAAAGGAGCCAAAGTGTCCATACCTGCGTTTTTACGCAGTTGAGAGACAATACATGCAGAGACAAGAGCTCTTAGGTTGACGCTGCGTTGTGGTGGAACTATCTGCCAGCAATTAACTTATGAAAAAATGCTGGCCGGTTGTCCCGCCAAGCTTCAAGTCTCATTTTTAGGGCTACGCGAAATTTCTCAATAATGATAACTGTAACTTTTAATGTATAATTAAAAAAAGTCATTAAAATATCAGTAAAAGTTACTTTGAAGTCTCATTAAAATAAAATCAACATTAGAGAAAATATTTATCAAAACTTTGTGAAGGTATCGATCCAATTGTGTACAGTAGACCAAAGTAGTGCCTTTAAAAGTAATCATCGGTTCTTCGCATCCCGTTTTTGTAATTCAATCTAGGACATGTCAACTCAAACGGTTATTGATCCTTTGGTAAATATAAGGAGCTGCTACTTCAATATGCTAATTTAGCTAAACTTCGTCAGTAGCTTCTGTTTCTTTGTGGATATTTTTGTTTTAGTTATATTCTAATATAATGACTCACGCTTCGTGGCAAAATACTTCTTAGAAAATTTTAACAAAGGACTTCGGTTCACAGGACTCACTATCCAACTATTGAGTATTACAAAAAGGCTAAAGCAACTAAAACGATATCTTACGTAATTTAATCGTCATAATATTAGCGTAAATTATTGATAAAGTATAGATCTACTATAAAGTATTTATAAATCTATCTTTATAACTATTATATAACCAATTTCATTATAGGCTGCGTGACATTATATTTGAGTCCTCTTGAGTGACAATGCATCTTTGTTCTTATATTTTTTAAGTTCGTTGCAGGTGAACTGCAGTAACGTAGAATTAAGTATGATGAGACTTGATTGTTGGCTGCAAATATCCGCTCGAGGAAAAAAAAACATTCACGAATCTAAATTTATAACACATGGTAATAGGTCCAGCCATGTAAATATGTGTTGAACGGCAATTTATGAATTAAAATTTATTCAACTTCAAATAAAACCTTGATTTGAATTTATAATCATGATCATGAATTTTAAAATATACTATAACTCACAGCTCACTCTCAATATAAATACATATACAATATAATCATAAATACATAAACAACTGGTATATCGTAAAACAATATTGTCACAATATTACCAGGTTCTTGTTGCGGTGCAACATAAAATTTTCTTAAATATTACTATTTTCTATACATTATGCACTTTATCGACATTCCTTTCAACAACGAGAAAGTAACGATCAATATCATATTGCACGGTAATGTGGGTTTGATTCTATAGAGTTTGATAGAGTAAATATTGAATGACATTGTATTTATGAAATGTTTAGTAATGATTTCTTAAATTTACGCGAACTATTTAAAAAATTCAGTTTTATTCAATGTTTAAGTAAAGAATTTAATAAAGAACTTTTAATATGATCGGAATTGAATGACTAATTTAAATTTAAGGAATAAATTTTTTAACTAATCAGAAGTGATTAACTACTTTAAGTGAGGATATAGATGCGTTGTCCATGTAGCCTCACAGCCTATAATTATTTGATTGCTAACTTGTTTGCACTTATAATATATATTTCAAAAGTTTCCAAATAATTATTATACGTGTATTTAAACGTGTTATAGCCATGCTGCAGTTATATTATTATTATAATTGTAGCATAAATGGGTCGGCTCGACCGAGGAAGGACCACGCTCTCACAGAATACCAGTGTAAAACAGTAGCTTTATGCTGCTGCGTTTTGTATGGTGAGTGTAGAGAACCGTAAGGTATTCCATCTTAGTCCTCACGGGTGACAACGCATCTGCATTTTGATTCGTAATCGAGGATAGATGTAGATGTCTGGTAGCTGGGCTACAGCAACCACTTACCATCATGTGGTATGCTCGTTCGTCACTCTATCCTATAAAAAATATTATTATATACTTACTAAAACTTTGTTTGTATCTATCAATTTTATTACTTACTTTGTTGTTGTGGTGTAAGCATATCCACTACTTCATAATTATATGTGTATATAATTATGAAGTAGTGGATATGCAATATATATATAAATGCAATGTAATATATATAAATTATAATCATCCTAGGGATGATTTCCGTGAGTGTCGTAAGAGGCAGCAAAGAGAAACAAATTCATCAAACAGGAAATGGGCAGCACTGTCTTCCTAATAACGACTAAAAATAAAAATAAACTGTGGTCGTCAAATCGTTTGCCAAGCGTGGCAACTAAGGTATTCCCACACATCCCCCTACGAAGCAATCTATGGGGGAGGTTCAGCAGTGGACTTTAATAAACAGTTACAGTAACGGTAATTTAAGAATGTAATAAAATGTAACAAAAATACCGTTACATTTTATGGTTCAAGGAGCAACAAGAAGTTGTGTAAATTAGCGTTCCATTACAAGGGTTTATTTCCATCACTAAAATGTAAGCGGGGAAAAAGTCTGCCTTTATTATTAAGTCAAATGTGAAAAGGATAGTTGAAAAGGAGTTTTATTTTGCGTAAAGATCTGAGAGTGGACGTAAACGGTGTTAATTCTTTATGACATTTAACTATAACAACTTGTTCTTACCATTTTTTATTGAATAGAGTAATCCATTAATATTTGTAAATATGTCCAATTTAGGAGCTTCTGAGGAGCGGTGGTAGCTCAGATGGTTAATGCTCGCTGTAGAGTTGCTGTAAAGAAAACATCGTGAGGGACCTGCATGTCTTAGAAATAAAAAAAATTGTTCGAAGACATGTGAAGTTCGCCAACGCACATTGAGGCAGCGCGGCGGACACTTCCCTGCCCTAAAACCCTCTCAGAAATGAGAGGAGGCCTGTGCCCAGCAGTGGGACGTATATAGGCTGAAACTTTAACTATTTTATGCCCAATTTATATGTATATACGTCCATTGTTTGAAATAAAAACCTATTTACCGTTACAGCCTATTAAAACCCACTGCTGAATGTAGGCCTCCCCCATAGAGTTTAAATTGTACGTTGGCAAAGTTGCCACGCTTGCAATCGGGGTGGCAGCCTCAGTTTTTTATTTTTATTCGTTATTAGTACAAAGCTGCTGACAATCCCTGCCTTGTTTCCTTCTGTCGCTTCTAATGCCACCCACGTGATGATAGTTGGTAGTAGATTCTAACACCGCCACTACACCGTAAAAAAAAAGATTAGGCTAATATAAATAGCTTCGAAAATTATTTGACACAATTAATTAAAATTTTTCTGTATTAAATTACATAACAGTAAATAAGTTGTAAAATTACTTTGAAAAAAAAATCATAAGCGAACTAACAGACCACCTGACGGTAAATGGTAGTCCATACCTTACCAAAAAAAAACTAAAGGTTACGTTACCACCCCTGCGGATTAAGATGAAAGTCTTGCACTTACATCCTGTGATCAATCTGGCTCTCCAGACCCATCAGACCGAAACACAGCAACGAGAGCACTCCTATTTGTCTTCAAAATTAGGTAACCTTCTATATATTTAGAAAGATTCCATAGCGGCAAAGGTATCCTATAACTAGTAGCCTATATTTTTTTAAATAAGGGAGTAAAGTTTATGGTTTCTTGCCTTACTCTCTAAACTTAATACTCGTATATTTAGTAATATATAGTCTGCC